CGAACTTTAACTCGTAATGAGCTGAGGTGAGTTGTGACCTTGCTCATGTTTGGCGAGATCACCGTGTGAACATTGTTGAGGTCAGGCGAAAGGTACTAGGCAAGATAAGCAAGAGGTTTAATGTGGTTATGAACTTTAGTTGATTGAGATGGCTTGGACATATACTGCGCCACGCATTCCGATTCACCCCTACCTAAATATGCCATGATAGATGAAGTTGAATAAAGTTGGAAAACGATTAAGGGTAGTTAACAGACCAATTGTTGACATCAATCAATGAAATCCCTGACTGTAGGTCTAAGCAATAAACTATCTGGTAGGGTCTGGTAGGAGTCTCTGAGATACAACAAGATTCAGTGGTTAAGAACTGGGTCTTGGTGATATAACTGAAATCGGTTGCAGTGACGCAAATGTATTTACTCTATGACATCTTCAAATTCTCTATTCTTTAACACAACTTTGTCTACTTTGGTATCACTCGTTGTATATCCACCTGTTCTTTTTGGACTTTGACAGTAAAATGTGTGGGAAATTAAAGTGATATATTTGTGTATGATATTCTATGTTGATTTTGTCTATCATGTCTATCTGGAAATATGAAACCAACTTCATCTATCCATATATGAGTTATGAACACTTACGCGACCGTTGTGATTCTAGAGGTTGTTGCGCAAACTGGTTACTGTAGGTACAGTACATAAGTCTACACTCTTGTCTATCAGGTCATTATAGTGTATTAGTTGAATTCACTACAAGTCACATCAGCGCACACACCAAGTTAGAAGGCTAGATGAAGATAGAGAGAAGGACAGACAGACAGACACAGAATCAACGTAGAACCTCACACACACAACTGTATCACTCTGAAAACAAAAGGTTAGTGCAATCTACAACATTTTCAAACAAGAGTCTTCAACCATACAAACAGGCAGTAGTATACATCTTCAAACATGGCTCAGATAAACAGTTAGAGACTTCATCGAATCGTATCAGGTCTTGGTTTGATCATCCTGAGCCGTTTAACAACTTAATCCACCTCCCCATTAACATGACACGTCAGGAAAGGCGGTGGTTCGGCATTCACGGTGAAGTATCTGTCCAAAGCATCTAAGTCGAATAAGGTTCACAACCTCATCAATCAACCTGCTTGTCTTGCCGCCTAGTATCCATCACCTCACTTCAACATTGTACACAGTGATCATTCCATCAAATACCAGCAACCCTATGAAGACATCACCTTAAAAGGTAACTCATCAATGTTGAGAGCTACTTCATTGTGTTACTAGTAAAGTTTTCACTTCAACCTAAAGGCTCCACTATACACAGTAAATGTTAATAGTAGTAATACTAATGATGGGTGTTAATTGAATATGAAATGTAATGAAAATCTGTGTCTCAGCGGGGTTCGAGCCAGCAACCTATAGGTTTCCTACCTTAGCCTCTCCTCTGCCAACTTCTCACCAGATGTTATCACCCAATTATCATATGAATTCATGATACTCAACTGTCCAGTCATCATCATCATCATATTCCCACATTGTGACTGCCTGCCTAATCTTACTGGCGATTCAAGTGAAGTGAGATCATCATAATCAGTGAAGTGAGATGATTTTTAATTGTCATCCCTCTTAACAATGTTCTCACCCTCCCCTTTTTTCATTCATCGATAATAATCATAATCATGAGCATGACAACAACAACAACAACAAGGCGAACGCAAGCTGAAAAACTATTCAACCATTTTGTTTTTGCATAATTATTGTTATTGTTTTTCAATACAAAATGAAGGGAACATGGAAATTTCAAACTCATATGGTCACGTTATTATTATGATTACTACGAAGTTAAATCTGCATTCCCTTTTTTTGCTCTCTTCTCCTTCTTCTTCTTCTTCTTCTCCGTAAAACGATAACAACATGATCACATTAAACAATAATTGGATAAATGATTGATTATTGATTCACTGTGATAGACAAGGAGAGAGAGAGAGGCGAGGTGAGGTGAGGTGAGGCGGGTAGATCATTATCTCTGTACTACACCTTATGAAATATTCTTCTAGGATTATGATGATGTCAATGTACAATGATGATGCGATGAGTAGTAGCTCAGACCAAGACTGTATGGAATTCAAAGCACCAACAACTTTGACATGAGATGACTAATTCAGTGTTCTCAGCTCTTGGCTGAATCGATCATTCCTCTGCAAAACATGATTGTAAGCTCCCCTATCAGCCAAACTACTCTCTCCCTCCATTACTTTCTCTCTGTGTGTGTGTGTGTGTCTGTGTATGTGTATCACCTTAAACACACTGGAGTGTTACCTTCTCGGTTAGTGATTCATCAGACCACCCCTTCACAATATTCAAGTTGATCAGTGAATTCTCTTCTAACACCCCTTTCTATACTCACACATAATATGCGTGAATAAGTTAAGACACACAGTTGAATTCTCGTATTTAGCTGTACTACGGTTACACTCTTATGCGATTTCTCCTTGTCCTCCGGTGGACAGGGGTGAGAATAAACGAGATACTCAGTATCAGATAGATATACGTGACAGTAGTTGGTTGTCTGCTAGAACCTAAATGTCTGTCATCTACAGTGTTGATCAGTTGAGCTAGAGATACACCACTCACCCTCTACCAACACCTTTCAAAGTCCTACACAATATAACACACAGTCCATTTTTAGTGCTACACCAGGAGAGATCAAAGGGGAACAGAACAATTTGGAGAAAGAATGGGGTAAAATGCTGACAGTTAGTCATATCACAGTATCCGTTTAGCTGATACAATCATCTTAAATGTAAGATTTTCTTCGGAGTCAACAAGACGATCAACAAACATCAGAAGTGAAACATAATCCACGATAGTTGACACTCCATATACTTTCTACAGGAATTCACGTCAACACGAGTCGTGGAACAGCTCACACAAGTCTTGTCCACATTTGAGGCTGACATCAATCAACACTCAGACATTTGGAAGGGTTTTTAACTCGAGACCATTCGATAGACAGACAGAGACAGACAGACAGAGGCGGAGAGACCAGTGACCAATTCCACACACGAAACAATTCAACTCAGATACAATCTAAATGAGAGTTAACTGGCATAAACACCGTCACGTCATCAGCATACTTAGTAATAATCAGTTTCAACAGAATGAGGTGAATCATGGAAGAAAAAACGGAGAAAGTACACCTCCTTGAGGCAGACCGACTTCAGTGAACAGTAAAGTCGACTAGTTCAGTATATTGTCGACTTTCAGAGAAGTGAGAATCCAGCCAGTTTTTGACCAATGGCTCAGTATAAGCAAAGCAAAGACAAGTTTATTAACCAAGAGGAGTCTAGGAACGGAGTCAAAGGTTGGTGTGTAGTCCAAGAAGTCACAGTAAACATACCAACTTGCCAACATTGTCTAGTCCATAAACAATAGTGTAATGATGCAAGACAGTGACAGCATATAAACTACTTCACTGTGTCTGGAAGAAACTGTTTACGATCTGTGGAAACCTTCAATGAAGGCTCAATCACAAGGAGAAGTAAATTCTTCATTGTCTCCGAAAAAGAGGAAGTTATAGTGATGCCTCGAAACTTAACATCTCTGATATACAAGATGACTTAGGCACATGTACAGCTTTGATCACCTTCCAAACAGTGGGGGTATTATACTTTTCGAAAGTAATCCTTCGAAGATATTTGTGTGAAGATGATGTGAAATATCTAAACTTTTCAATGGATTCAAGGATTTCAGACATTTGAAAACATCATTTGTGTTAAAATCAGAAGACCAACTATCCTGACTGACGTTATAGATGGCTCCTTCTTCAACCTGCAGACATCAGAACAATCTTCCTTCTTATGTTATCTGTTTTCCATATATTGGGAGATTTCTTACACCATAGAAACGTTGTATATTTCAGACTTCATTATACAGTCAAGTCTCTCTTAACGCCAAGGTGATTTTTCGCATTATACGCAAAACTTCCATTTTCTCTCTGAAGCCTCTTGAGATGAGGAGACGAATGTTTGTCAAATTGTATGAAGATTATTCCAACAGGCAGCAAATGTTAAAACGCAATCTCAGATAGTCGTTGGTGATATTTATGATAATTTTGTTATCTGAGCATCCCTGTCAAATTCACCATCTGCTCTCACTTAGCTTACATACATGATTGTTGCTAATCATCACCAAGGTGTATTGGCTCCCTCGAGGAAACCAACTAACATCGTAGCCTGATGGCCACATTGTGAGAATGATCAACTGAATTCAGTCAGCGATCAATCGTCACCTGAATAGTTAAGTGATAACATGGTTGACTGCAGCAGTATGTGAGGTGGGTTCCATTCTCAAAAGGGACATCATCATCTCTCTCTCTCTCTCTGTCTGAAAATTTCAACTTTTACACAACCTGCATTTACCATATAGTAAATGTCAAGAGGAGAAGATAATCTAATTTTAAGATTTTTAGAGAATAATTGATTGTAGCTGATTTGGTAAATCGCCGAGCCGGTATTCTAGTAGTCGCTGGTTCGAATCCGGCCGCAGTCCAGAAAACTCTAATAATTGCTTGATTTTACATTGACATTCATTATCGACTGATATCAATTGAAGAACACCATTAAAACAACAACTGCGAAACTCCTTAACGGTGTACATCCATAATCACCAATCTCCGCCCATACCAGGGGTCGGACCGAGGACTCTGAGGTCACCATTAAATGAGTCACTGGCTGGCATCTAATGACCGAAATTTACCCTTCTTCTATCACTTCATGATGATTCTAGCCCTCGTTGACGACTCCCTTCGAGAGTTTAACGACAGTTGAGTAAAAAAGCCTATCCAATCTATATAGAACAGGAAATCAAGGGATTTTTTTTCTTAGCAGTTAGGCAGTCAATGTAATTAGCTGTGTGTATGTATTTCACCTTTTCTTTTGTAGACATATATATATATATATAACCTAATCTTCTTTCATTTATGTATTTCAATTATAGGAGGAATCAAATCTATCGTCATCAGTTGATGGTGTGAAGGTGAATCGTGAAGATCTTCCTACTATCAATGAGGTGAATACTACAACTGCTGCAACTACACCTACTGCTACTGCTACGCATATAACTACTGACACTGGTGGTGATCAAAAGAAGCAGGATGAATCGCATAGTCCTTCCTCGTCGACCGCATCATCATCATCATCCACAGCAGCTGGATCACCACCGATCGCTAACGAGGTGACTACTCCACCACCTGCAGCCGCTTTATTACTACGGAAACGTTTAGGTGTATCTGGGGAATCAATGAAATGCGCTCAAGAATTAATTTATCATGATAAAGATGCACAGTAAGTTGTGACTCCTTTTCTTTTCTTTGAAAAAAAAATTGGGAAGCACAATAAATCAGCTGTTTCGTCCAACATTGGACTCGTCAGCCGCTTATTAGTGAGTGATTTGCTTCGAGATGAGATTCTCTGACGTTCTAATGAGAAGTTGTGACCATTGGTGGGGCATGCCAAGCTGTAGAAGAGAAAAATTACTCAACCCGATGGTATCGGATAAAGGTCACATTGTATTAAGAATGGATAGGTGTCGGAAACTGTGTAGCTCAATAATGACGTGCTGGGCGTGGAGACTGAAGGTTGAATCCTTGGAGTGGGGGGGGATTAAGCAGTGCACACTTCTGTGAAGAGTGTTATACTAGGCTAAAACAAAAAATATCCATTGTTTCGACGTTCTCATCGTCTGTTGACAGTCGTAACTTTCATGTGTAGTAATGATCTGGATATGCCGATCAAAATCTCTGTAAGCATTAGGCCGTGGAAACTACAGCAGCAGCAGTAGGAGTCATGGTTTAGCAGACTAGTATTGATACTAAGGCATGATTTGAGGTGAAATGAAGATATGAACGGTGACGAGATTCGAACCAGCGACCACCAAGTTTCCCACCTAATGCCCCTACCAACTGAGCTGCGAAACATCGTCTGCTAACCACACTTTTATTCTACTTCAACCACCAAGGGTTATGTTGGCCCGACTATCATGTAAATTCCTCACGCCTTACTACTACCGCTTGATGACCATACACTGGCCGCCCGCAGTCAGGACATCTCATCCCAATCGAAATGTAATTGAATTAGATTGAGAGGGGGGAACACCATATTGATTACCACTTTGTCTATCTCAGTGAGATAGCGGGCTTGGTTTTGGCAGACTAGTATTTATAGTGGGTGATGATTGAATATGAAATGAAGATTTTTCAACGCAGTCGGATTCGAACCAGCAACCAAAACGTTTCCGACCTGATGCCTCTACCAACTGAGCTACGAGGTATATTAATGTTTAACCTTTCGATAGGTGTGTAGGCATAAACTGTGTCTTTTTTCAATGTTGTGGCTCGTATTATTGCATCATTGGTAGGGACAATTTGATTGGCCACTGCTGAAACAACCAATCAGGTGTCCCCAGGCAAGGAAATATGATTGGCTGTCTAAGCACTAGTTGCTAGGGTAGCCTTTACAGTCACTCATTTTTTTTAGGTAGTCTATTTTCAACTACAATAGAATCGAACGGAATCGAACTTGGCGTCATCTATCGAGGTTCAAATAGCCAGGGTATTAAGGGTAGTCGTTATATATAATGGATGTGTGACTCGAGGAAATCAGGTAGGTTCCAGGCCTGGACGAGAGTGCTTCAATCATGTTTTAACGTTCCAACAGATCGTGGAACACACGTATACTTACCGTTTGACTGTGAAGTGTTGTGGTAGTGTCCAACTGTGAAAGGAATATCGAGCAAGAAGTATGTAACGTTAATCACAGCTGCCTACTCGAACTTACGCAGCTACTCAAGGAAGAGCTTATGGGGAGTTATCAAAAGATGATGTCCACCTGAGATGCTGACCATCAGCATTCGTAGATGTACACTTATGGACATAATCTTAGATACATCTAACTTTCACAGGGGATTAATCTACTCCATTGATTTGGAGTATGTAAACAATATTGTCTTATTGATTTAGATGAAGACACTGAAAAATACAAAATCTTTTGAATGCATTGAGTAGACTAATACGTGTCAGCAATTTTTGAAGTCTCCAACTGTTGATCTCAGCTGTATGAAGGGATGTAGACTACTTGGATGGAGTTCCTAAGATAATAGGAATCACTGGTTGAAATCTGTCGGTGGCAATGGCTCAGATGTATTCACTAATCATCATCTTCAAATTGTCTATTCTCTGTCACACAATTTTGTCTACTTTCAGTCATCTTCTATCCATCTATTCTTTGTATTCTACGACAGTGTAGTGTATGGGAACTTGAAGTGTGCGAGGCTGCTACGTTAATTCCTTCTCTTTTTCTATCTAACATATGACTCATTTAGAAGTAGTATTCATCATCGACTGACATTAGTTGGGGGAACCATTGAAAATCTGAGAGCACTGGACAGCTGTTTCGTCCTAGTATGGGACTCCTGAGCAGTACGCACCCACGACCCGGCTAGGGGTCGAAACAGGACGAAACAGCTGTCCAATGCTCCCAGATTTTCAATGGTTCCCCAACTGATGTCAGTCCATGATGAATACTACCTCTAAATTAAAAATCCCTATTCATCTCAGAAATACAATATGACTCGTCATATAGCATACAGTATAAACCCTAGAAGGGTTGAATGTTTTACACTTCCATACCTTAACACTTTGTCCTGAGATATTTAACCTTGACTGACTCAGTGTCATATCAATTTCTCTTTGGATCATCAACACTGATGACAAAGATTATCACGTGATTTTTATCCTTAAACCTAAATGGGGGGGGGGGGTAACTTTGTAGGTCAGCCTCAGTGACTGATAGGACAGCCAATTTTATATTCGTCAAATTTTTATGGAAAAGTACTTTCCAAAGCGAAATAACAAAACTTGATTGGTGTGTATTTAACTAGAGTTACTACCGTGAAGGACATTTTGAACCTGGATGAAAACAGATGTTCAACGTCTCAAGGTTTTGGATAACTCTAAACGCCACCCATAGAACTGATGAAAGAGCCAATTCTTTTATGAAATCCAGGGCGAAACAACCGTTTTTGATGATTGAAATGAATTAAAAAGTGTGTTCAACAGTCGGCTGTCGCAGCTCATATGGTAGAACACTGGGCTGGTAACTCTGTCGTCGCTGGTTCGAATCCTGCCATGCGGTCCAGATTTTCTACTTCACTTTCACCTTCATCACTCAGTATCGATTTTTTTCCCCGCCTTTTTAAAAACTTCATTAGTTATATTGAACGAATACTGACAAAGGAATATTTCTGAAATAACTTGGTGACTTGAAGGAAGGCATGAATTTGCACTCATGATCCCGCTAGAAGTCCCTGAAACTTCTTGAAGTTATAATGGAGACTCTTTATGGCCAGATTCGATCCCTGGCGAGATTATGACTGCTTACTGCTGATGAGTCATGACTAGTGGAGCCAACCAGGTTGAACCAGAGAACAGTTACTCATTGACATCATTGGATGGATGACAGAAGTAGGAAGTATGAACATGCTGGCCATGGAACCCGAAGGTCGTGGCTTCGAACCCCGGAGGGTGGGGTCATGGGTGGTGATCACTGCTAACTGAAATCCATTAACAAATCCCCACAAACTTTCAAACTATATTTGGATGATTTACGTATCACTTGCATTGTGTACTTCATTGGTAGCCGTCTAGTTTTGTGTGTGTGTGTGTGTATGTCTGTATGTTTATCTATCCATCGTTGTGTTCCACTCGAAAATCAACCCTGTTGTTTTTTTATCATGATAGTTAGTTATTATTGTTGTTCTTGTTGGGAAAGACAAGAATATTAAAATACTATGTGGGAGAAGTAAAACAGAAAACTAGATTTCATTAAAGTTTTATAATAATTGCCTGAAGTAACTTTAGGCTAGAAGGAAAGCTCGAGGCAGCCGCCAGAATAAAACGTGGTATCACTTACTGCATGGAGTATTCAACTGTTGATTTGAGATATATTGTGTGTGTGTGTGTGTGTGGAGGGGGGGGGATTCAGGTTAGCCTGTTGTGTGGTTGATGTATCAATAGCAATCAGTGGTTGGAGACTGACTCTAGGTGATATGGCTGAGAATCAACGTCACTAGCGCGCAGGTGCATATCCACACTTTATCTTCGTCTTAACCACTTTCTCATTCTACATTTGTCTCGTTTACATTGTTCTACTGCGCTTGTCACATGTTTTTCCTTTTTTCCTCATTTTCTCATCTTATGTCTAGTTTATTACTTGTTCTACTGATATGAAGTGTGTCTAGCCATCGCCAACCTATCTCGATGCTAGAGAGTGTTGGATTAAGCTGAAAGAGGGTTCAAGTTGACCAGATCATTGACTTCCTGTGTGAAACGTGTTAGAAGTAGTAGACTACCTTGCTGGCTGGAGCCTCTGAGACGACAGGAATCTCTGGTTGACATCTGAATCTTGGTGACATGTCTAGAAATAGGTGATTATGGCACAGATATATCCACTTCTTGATATCCTTCAAAGCTTGAATATTTTCACTAAACATGTTGTCTGCTTTAATGATATCACTCTTTGTATGCTACCATGGTGAAGTGTGGCAACTTGAGGTGATTCAATTGCGTATAAGGTTCTACGTTGATTTGGTGTATCTGTCTTTCTGTTGACCGAGAAATAATTTGGCAGTTGCTGCTTCAACACTACGGTGTGCCACAAACCTTTATCAATCTCATTCAACAACTACATACCAAGTAATTCACAATGGGAAACTCAGTGATGCCTTTGAAGTGAAGACAGGAAGGAGTGAGACAAGGTCACCTACTATCACCGATGCTCTTCCTGATTGTGGTAGACTGGATCATGCAGCGAACCTTGAGGAGCTGTGAGAAGATGGTCATACGCTGCTTGACAGATGAAAAGACCTTAGAAGATTTGAATTTCGCCAACGATGATGATCTATGTCTAATGACTCATATAGCACAAAATCGAAGATTTACAGGCGAAAACTAACAAGTTGACAGAAGAGGCAGGACAGCGAAAACGGAACTTCGAGTGAATGTAAAGAAGACGGAGGTGATGAAGATACCCAACCAACAACAGCATCAACAACAAGCTGCAATCACCATTAGTGGGAGAAAGCTGAAGGAAGTAGTCTCTTTCACCTACCAGCTTAGGCAGGGCAGCATCGTTTCAGCTACACGCAGCACACTCACAAACGAGGATCTCAAAACCAGGATGGCAAACACAGCAAGACAGACTTTCAATAATCTGAAATCAGTATGGAGATCTACTGAACTGCACTCAGCATAAAGCATAAACAACATCCGAATTTTCAACACCAATGC